ACTGACAAGTAGTTGAGTAGTTGGTCTAATGTACATATCCACCAAGTACCTATCTGCTCTCTGTCTGTGGTTCACTACAGTTGCTAGAATGTTTTAAGTATCCAATCAACATCAAGCAGGAAGTTATATTTCAAATCAAATTTTATTGGTCACATGCGCCGAATACAACAGGTGCAGACATTACAGTGAAATGCTTACTTACAGCCCTTAACCAACAGTGCATTTATTTTTAACAAAAAAAGTAAAAATAAAACAACAACAAAAAAAGTGTTGAGAAAAAAAGAGCAGAAGTAAAATAAAATAACAGTACGGAGGCTATATATACAGGGGGGTACCGGTGCAGAGTCAATGTGCGGGGGCACCGGCTAGTTGAGATAGTTGAAGTAATATGTACATGTGGGTAGAGTTAAAGTGACTATGCATAAATAATTAACAGAGTAGCAGCAGCGTAAAAAGGATGGGGTGGGGGGGCAGTGCAAATAGTCCGGGTAGCCATAATTAGCTGTTCAGGAGACTTATGGCTTGGGGGTAGAAGCTGTTGAGAAGTCTTTTGGACCTAGACTTGGCACTCCGGTACCGCTTGCCGTGCAGTAGCAGGGAGAACAGTCTATGACTAGGGTGGCTGGAGTCTTTGACAATTTTGAGGGCCTTCCTCTGACACCGCCTGGTATAGAGGTCCTGGATGGCAGGAAGCTTGGCCCCAGTGATGTACTGGGCCGTACGCACTACCCTCTGTAGTGCCTTGCGGTCGGAGGCCAAGCAGTTGCCATACCAGGCGGTGATGCAACCAGTCAGGATGCTCTCGATGGTGAGGCCTGTTTGTGTCATCGGTCATAAGGAAGTCATGTTATTTATTGAACTCTGTGGCCAGCCACCCATGGCCATATAGGGGCCTTTTTTTCTTTTTATACTGTCTGTGTGTGACATCAGTGTGAAGAGTTATTTAGAAGTGTGATATCAGTGTGAGGAGTTATTCAGAAGTGTGTGTGGGAAATCTATATCTGCATCTTTATCAGTGGTTTAAAAGGGGAAATTCACATGTGTGATTATGTGTTGTGTGTGTGTGTGTGTGTGTGTGTGTGTGGATGCTTGCGTGCCTGTGTATGTGCCTGCCCTCGGTGTGTGTTTCCTCTTAATTCTACCCTCTGTCGTGTTCAGGTCACATCCAATCACATTCAATCAGGAAGCTGGTACACCTGCTGGGACACTGTTCCTTTATTACTTTACTTTCAGAGCCTTGAAAATGATCACTGTGTAAGACTATGGCAAATCACATGTTCATAATAAAAACAATTAATACAAGCATTTTACAGAGGAAAGACCCACTGTGCAGAGATGTCAATTCAATGTCTATTCCACGTTGATACAACGTTGATTGAACCAGTGTGTGCCCAGTGAGGTATGTCTACACACTCTTTATTAAATCTTAACATAAATATTCTGATTTTCTTTCTGTCATTCTCTTAGGTTTCTTCTTCTTCATCTCAGTTTGTGGTTCTTCGATTCCTCTCTCCTCTCCTCCTTCCTCCTACCTCCTCTCCTCCTTCTCAACCCTATTAGAGAAGGTCCATGGTCCCTACCCTAGGATTATATTCTCCAATGTGTTTTGAGAAGGACGCGAGGAGAGAGGATTCGTGGAGGAATCGAGGAATGATGAGTTGAGAAAAAGCCCATAGACAAGTCTGTAATACCATTATTTCTCTGTTGTCACTATCTGGCCAAATTGCAAAGTCACAAACCCTGCCTATTTTTATAATTTATCTTCTTCAAATCTGATAGTAAACCTAACCCTAACACACTGCTAGTCTTATGCCTAACAGTATAATAAGACCAAAAAGCTACTTTCTTTTTAAAAACTTGCTACTGTCCATAATGAGCTATTGTTAACCTCTTCATCACAAGGTTCCCCATATCCGGGGTACTCCTCCCGCAATCTCAAACAATGGCATAGTACGGTTTTTAAACATGTGTGAATACCTGAATGTTATACACTACTGGAACGAGAAGCGTCTCAACTGTGAATCTAGCTAAACTGTTGTTGCCCAAATTAAATAATATTCCGACTCCAAGCAAATATATAAGCATATAGCAAAACCAGTACTGTATTTTGAAACCGTGCATGCCCGTATATATTCGTAGACAGATAAAGTATTTTTCTCAACCTATCTACACAAACGATACACCATTCAAAAATTGCTAGCTCACAGATTCCAACAGTGATAGCCGTGTTCCTCTATGACCAACACTCACTAAACTATTAACCAAAGAACATCAATAACAAACTTCCATTTTTTTTATCACAACAACAAACTGCGTCTTACCTTTGTTGTTTCTGTTACCAAAAGTAGTGTCTGATCTAATAAAACCACTTGAAAAGATACTCTAGGGCAGGGTTCTTCAATTCCGGTCCTGGAGGGCCGAAACACCTCTGTTTTTCATCCTCTCCTTCTAATCAGGGGCTAATTCAGACCTGGGACACCAGGTGAGTGCAATTAACTACCAGGTAGAAATAAAAAACAGAAGTGTTTTGGCCCTCCAGGACCGGAATTGAAGAATCCTGCTCTATGGTCTCTCTCTCATTCCGAGTCGATTTCAATGAGTTTCCATCGTTTTACATGGCCAACAATGTGTTTGAAGATGAAGTCAGTAGTTTGGTTCAATCACAACAGGCACTGTTTTGTCACCATCTTCTGGATATTTGATGCAATCCTCGTGGTTTGTCATTGTTCTCATTTAATTCTACAGATCCAGAGCTTTCGATAGAGGGGTCACATGTCAAAATCGACCAACCGGTTATTGAAATATCCAAGTGCGCACCTCATTGTCTCATATTAGTTGACTTGCTGCGTTACGCACGGTTACGCAGAGCGCACAACAACACTAGAATTTCGGAGGTAAAACGCAAAGTTTATTCAAATATGGCAGGCTCTAGTAACAAATATACAGTTACAGAGGCGTTATTAATTGTAACAGATGAAAGTTGGACATGTATCCCCATTGACTCTGAATCAGACGATGAGGACCTGCTTAGACCGGACGAACCAGACCCCAACGACGAGAACGAAGGTTATCGTGTCCAGGGCCCTACTCAAGCATCAGAAGAGTATGTAATCCCATTGTTATTTATTACTTCTAATACTACTATTACTAATTTATTGTATGAGTACAAAACATACATTCTAAAATATCTATTTGAGTAACTGAAGCTCAACGTAAGTTAGCGCCAGCTAGCTTAGCCTAGAGGCCCACGCGCAAATTGACTTACAATAGAACGCTATGTGTATTATTTATTGTCACTGAATTATCACTTAAGTCAACATTCTCATAGTTCTAACTATTTATTTTATATATCTGACTGTTTTGAGTCAGATTTGTCAATGAATTAATACAAGTGTGTTTTAGTCATGATTTTCTTTTCTCTTTTGTCTTGTTTGTACAGTGAAGATGATTATAGGGGTATGAGCCACAGCCAGAGCATCTGCCTCCTCAGCCACAGCTTCCCCTTCCTCAGGCAGAGCCTCCTCTTCCTCAGCCTGGCCGCTTGTCTAGACAACGCACTTCTGCTCCCCTCCCTCGGCCACGGTCTTCATCGGTCATTGAGTCCCCTGTAAAGAGCCCTCAACCCAAAAGAAAAGGAAAAGCTTTCTCAAAGTCAGCGCATCCAAGTCAGCGTGGTGGAGGTAGGCCTGCCACTCCAAGAGTCGGGGAGGAAGAAGATAGGTGGCATAATAGAGAAGAGAAAAAAAGGTCTACATTTTGTGTGACAACCCACCCAAGGACACCATATCATTGTTTATAGTTTTGGGATGTGTGTAATTTTTGCTTTTAAATTTGTTGTTTATAGTTTCTAATAAATCTGCTCAGTTTGGAGTCAAACTTTCCCATTGTATGGTTTATTTCAATGGGAACACGTATAGAGGTCTGGGAGAACATGGGAAACAACATCAAAACAGTTGTATTTTTGATGGAATGTACACATATAGTGATATGTTAGTGAAATTAAATGCCTTTTGCTGTCTGGTACCTGATAAAAGTCAAATGGCACTGATGGTGCCCAAATCTACCCAAATGTCTCCATTTGGTAATCCGCCTGTCAAGGTAGATGTAGGTGGGTGTGGGTGGAATCAGGCGCAGGACGCAGTACGTTAGTCCAACAGACTTTAGTGATGCACAGCAAAACAAACACGAAATAACTGCCCTGAGGCAAAAGCTCCGCACGTAGGCGAAAACACAAGCGCACAAACAGGTGCGACAAAATACTCCAAAACTAAGGAGCAAAATAGCTCAACCGAGCAAACAGTAATAATCCAGCCTACCGGCACGACAGTAAAACAATCACACACAACACTAGACAAACACAACGAGAACTTATAGGACACTAATTACACTAAACGATAACAGGTGTACAACAATCAGACAAAAGCAAACGAACATAGAAACATACAACGGTGGCAGCTAGTATTCCGGAGACGACGAACGCCGAAGCCTGCCCGAGCAAGGGAGAGAGGCAGCCTCGGCCGAAACCGTGACACCGCCTAAACATACTTCAACTAAAACCCCTACAACTTTGGTTTACTTTACTTAATTGGCATCAAACTTCACATAAGTACTCATCAGATATTGGCCTATGGTCCCATAGTGTTTAGGGGCTGCAGCTGCATAAGTCCAATAAATCATTCCCTATAAAACCTGAAGTTACTTTCAGGTGGAATCAAAACCTCCCAATTTATGCTGTGTTCTAGCCTCATGTACTCTGACACAGTAATACCCACATTAATTATTTCACTTCAAGATACATCTCCCATGTGTTACCTTTCTTTCGCTACCAAGATTATGTTGATAGCCCTTGTCGTTTTGGAGATATACTCTATTCAATTTGGGCATGCATTTTCGAGGCAGGCACTTTAGCCAGGTGCCTAGTGATGAAGAGGTTAAATCAATCTTTCACAAATCCAGTTACATTCATGTCTACATCCTACATCATTCCATTTATTTACAGGGCCAGGATGCCCATAATTATTCTGAGCACAGTCCTCCTCTCCTACATGTATTATAGGACCATCACCATTATCAGGCTGGTTTCTCCCCCAGTACCTAGAGGGAAAACAACACAGAGAACCAGACAGTCAGACACTGTGGTAAACACAACATTATTAATCATACCCAGATGTTGTTGAACTGGTTAGAGTCCTACGGCCGGATTGTTATCTCTCACATTGTGGTCAGTGATGTATTGTCCACCCATTTCCAGGTCCCCTCGTTCTCTCTGTCAGTCAGACTGATCCAGACACTATCAATGTCCCTGTTTAATTCAGTGAGGAATTGCTGTTGTTGTGAAAAAAAAAAGTCAATTACATGTGAGTATTAATAATTTACCTTATTCATAAGTGTATGTCTCTCTCTCTCTCTCTCTCTCTCTCTCTCTCTCTCTCTCTCTCTCTCTCTCTCTCTCTCTCTCTCTCTCTCTCTCTCTCTCTCTCTCTCTCTCTCTCTCTCTCTCTCTCTCTCTCTCTCTCTCTCTCTCTCTCTCTCTCTCTCTCGACGGGGTACTGGTGGGTGTCATGAGGCTCACCCTACCGTTGGCCATGCCGCCCAGTCACCACGGAGATGCTGGTAGGGAAGGAGGAATTGAATCTGCGATCGTTGGTGGCTCGGACGGTAAAGGTTCCTCCGGTTCTGTTGGCCGTTTCCACGGTGAAGGGGAAAGAAACTGTGGAAAACTATGTCTGCATCTTAATCAGAAGTTTTAAAGGGGAACTTTAAATGTGTTTGTGTGTCAGTGTGTGTGTCCCTGTGTGCGTACGTGCTTGTGTGTGTGTGTATGTCCTCTCAGTACTGTTCTGATCTCTATCAGTGACCAACTGCAGGTGAAACTGTTCTAAGTATTCAATCACATTCAATCAGGAAGCTGGTGGACCTGCTAGGACATTGTAGGACATTGAATCTCCCCTTTCCACAAAGTGGTCATGTTAGTTTGTAGGCCAAACCGCTTCGGACCCTACAGACATTTTTGAGAGAAGACCGATTTTTGGTATGTCTCATGGTCTGACAAACACCGCTTTAGCTCGGGCACCTTCCACTGCAGATGAGGAGGGGCGATATCGGCGGATGTGGTTGATTGAGACGCAGCCCATGTAAACAACCCATATATCTCCATCTTAAACTGACAGATTTTGATGTGAATTTTTTTATTATGTTACTTAGATTGACGAACCGTAAAAAAAAAATATCTTTAGATACTAAGATTAACATGTTTCAACTGGAAATGATGAAATGCACCGCATGCAGTGTGCACAAAGTCAAATGTACTAATGTAATGTTGATTTGTCAAAGAACTACTGGTATAAAAGAAGCTACAATCTGAGGAAAAAACTACTGGTATACAGGAATCTACAATAATTAGCCATTTTATTAATATGATACAAACAAATAAAACAATAGGTGCGTGTGTATGTGCGTGCATCTACACTTCTGTGCATGTTTGTAAGTGTCGGTTTGAGAGAGAGAGCGAGAGAGAGCGAGAGAGAGTTGTGAGGGCTACTGTATGTGTTACAGTATGTTGTCATGGTGATGTTAAACCACTCTCTCACAAATCCAGTTGAGTTTCCTGTCACATGACAAGTCATTCCATGCCTTCAGAAGACTCTGATCTTTGAGTATCTCAACACAGTCCTCCTCACCATTTTCTGTTTGGCCACCACCATTATCAGGCTGTGGTTTATACCAGTACCTACAGGGTTAAAAACAGTCAGATATCATGGTTAATACCAGTACCTACAGGGTTAAAAACAGTCAGATATCATGGTTAATACCAGTACCTACAGGGTTAAAAACAGTCAGATATCATGGTTAATACCAGTACCTACAGGGTTAAAAACTGTCAGATATCATGGTTAATACCAGTACCTACAGGGTTAAAAACAGTCAGATATCATGGTTAATACCAGTACCTACAGGGTTAAAAACAGTCAGATATAATGGTTAATACCAGTACCTACAGGGTTAAAAACAGTCAGATATCATGGTTAATACCAGTACCTACAGGGTTAAAAACAGTCAGATATCATGGTTAATACCAGTACCTACAGGGTTTAAAAACAGTCAGATATCATGGTTTAATACCAGTACCTACAGGGTTAAAAACAGTCCAGATATCATGGTTAATACCAGTACCTACAGGGTTAAAAACAGTCAGATATCATGGTTAATACCAGTACCTACAGGGTTAAAAACAGTCAGATATCATGGTTAATACCAGTACCTACAGGGTTAAAAACAGTCAGATATCATGGTTAATACCAGTACCTACAGGGTTAAAAACAGTCAGATATCATGGTTAATACCAGTACCTACAGGGTTAAAAAACAGTCAGATATCATGGTTAATACCAGTACCTACAGGGTTAAAAAACAGTCAGATATCATGGTTAATACCAGTACCTACATGGTTATAAACAGTCAGATATCATGGTTAATACCAGTACCTACAGGGTTAAAAAACAGTCAGATATCATGGTTAATACCAGTACCTACAGGGTTAAAAAACAGTCAGATATCATGGTTAATACCAGTACCTACATGGTTATAAACAGTCAGATATCATGGTTAATACCAGTACCTACAAGGTTAAAAACAGTCAGATATCATGGTTAATACCAGTACCTACAGGGTTAAAAACTGTTGTCCCTACACGTTGTCCCTTGTACAGTGAAGGTTGGGAGTCATTCTCACCGTCATTAGCATCGTTTTTTTTTTTGTGTGTGTGTCTGTGTGTGTGTGTGTGTGTGTGTGTGTGTGCCCTCTCAGTACTGTTCTGCCCTCTGTTTGTGTCCAGGTCACACTGTTTTAAGTATCCAATCACATTCAATCAGGAAGCTGGTAGACCTTGTTAAAGAACATTGTTCTTTATTTATTAATATGTGACTTTGTTATTCTTATTATTAATGTGATAAGCATAGGTTAATAATTGGTCCAACTTTTTTTTTGTACGAAGCATAAGCCTATGGCAAATCACATGACATGTTTCTAATAAAATAATGAAGAGTCATTTTCCAGAGTACAGTATGTCTACATCCTCTCCTCTAAATCTAAACACAACTATTATTTGTCTTGTGTTTTCTCTCTTCCTCATTCTCTTAATGTTCTTCTTCCTCCTCTATGTCTCTCTGACACTAAGGCTCTAACTCAATTATCAACAAAATGACATGGGTAGTTGTGGCTATGCTAATACAAAAAATAGAACAATATGCATACTTATGTGCGTACTTGTGTGCATGTGTGCATGTGAGAGATTGTTACAGTGGTTATTGCTAAACCATTTTCTGCTGCACAATATAAATCATTCCATGTCTCTACATGGTCATCTTATCCAGAGTATATCTCAATACAGTCCTCCTGCCCAGGGAATGGGATTTGCTATTTGTGATGATGGACATGACACTATCATACCAGGAAGATATAGATAATAGAGGGGAAGTGGAGAACAAAGTCTAGCTGTTAACATATATTAAATATCATATGTAACAGCCCCAAGATAATTCAGGGAGTTTCCAGAACTCCCTTCCTTTCACCTTTCTACTGATTTGGACCCTCTGTTTACTCGTAAATATACATCAACATGTTCAGGAGGTCCAGGACTACAAACATGGGTCATTATAATGTCCATACAATAGATCTGACACTACAACCTTCTCCAAGTGGATATTGAGGGTGGGTAGGGTTAAAAACGGTCAGATATCATGGTTAATACCAGTACCTACAGGGTTAAAAACAGTCAGATATCATAGTTAATACCAGTACCTACAGGGTTAAAAACAGTCAGATATCACAGTTAATACCAGTACCTACAGGGTTAAAAACAGTCAGATATCATAGTTAATACCAATACCTACAGGGTATTGGTGATATCTAACAGTCAGATATCACTGTTAGAATATCACAATCCTAAATAATATACAGAAATGTTTCTGCTTAAATTCAACTTTGTTGACTGCTGCCACCAATGACAATAACCTGTATAGATAAAGGTTGAATGAACTGAACATTGGAGCCTTATTGTCAGAGTAGTTATCATCTCTTACTCTGTGGTCAGTGTTGGTCCACCAGTTGAATATGGAGGACCTAGAGTATGAATAACACAGAGAATCAGTCCTAGTCCTTCCACTGTGGTCAGTGTTATTAGAGCAGTAGTGTTTTACCTTGGGGTGGTCAGTGGGGTGCCGTCCACCCATGTCCAGGTCCCCTCAGTAACAGAGTCAGTCAGACCAATCCAGACTCCATTGCTGAGGTTGAAGACAAACTCCTGTTGTTGACAAAGATAAATATTTATCTATATGTTTGATCATATTCTCTCTCTCTCTCTCTCTCTCTCTCTCTTCTCTCTGCTACTCTGCTCTCATAGCCGCTCTCTTACTCTCTCTCTCTCTCTCTCATCTCTCTCTCTCTCATCTCTACTCTCTCGCTCTCTCTCTCTCTCGAGAGCGACTCTCTCTCATCTACTCGCGGGCTCTCTCTCCTCTACGCTCTCGGTCTCTCTCTCCTCGCTCATATCTCTCTCTCTCTAGCTCTCTCTCTCTCTCTCTCTCTCTCTCTCTCTCTCTCTCTCTCTCTCTCTCTCACCTGTTCATTATCACTGTTTATGATCACCAGGTCTGCTCCTCTCTCCAGACAGTCCTCTCTGCTCTCCTTCCAGGCTTTAGTCTCAGTAGACAGGAAGTACCAACTGGATTCAAACTTCTGCCAGCCTTCAGGACAGGTTTGTTCTACAAGATGAAAACATGCATTTTCTTCAACTTATCACACTGGACACTTAATGAAAGAATACAGACACATGATAAAGTGTGTGGGTTTAATAATAATTTATTACTGTAGGTTTACTCACTGAGATTGGTAAGCCTCCTGTTAAGAATCTCTCTCTCAGTCTGTAGCTGGTCTCTCTCTTCAGTCAGGGTGGTGTAACTGGCCTGTAGCTGGTCTCTCTCTTCAGTCAGGGTGGTGTAACTGGCCTGTAGCTGGTCTCTCTCTTCAGTCAGGTTGTTGTAACTGGTCTGTAACTTGTCTCTCTCTCTGGTCAGAAAGCTGTTACTGGCCTGTAGCTGGTCTCTCTCTATTGAGTCGTGATGACCAATGACTCCATCTGTAAAAGGGAAAAGTTAATCAAATATGTAACTACCACACCATTGATGATTAAGTATGATTAAGTAAGCTACTTAAGTCTCAGTGACAACTTACTAAACTTACAGTAGACAGACAGGCCTATGATCCCAGCCAGTAGGAGAACACACAGCAGCCCCAGACACACTGCAACAACTCCAGAGGGTCTCTTCCACCACTGAAAATGTACTGAATCACAAATCATTAAAGTAAGATCTTTGGTCGTGTGTTTTACTTTATGATCCTTGATTGGGACAAATAAAGCTATAGAACTACATGGTACTCTCACCTGTTTATTGTGTGTGTGTGTGTGTAATTTATATGTGTGTGTGTGTGTTTGTGTGTGTGTGTGTGTGTGCAATCTTACCTGAAGCAACAACTCCATCTCTTGGACTGGGCTTGAAGGCTCTTACGTTGGCATATAATTGCCCATCAATGTCTGTGTTCTTCATTGCATCAGGCTCGTCGTCTTCAAATCCATCTGAGTTTTCATAGACTCTCTCTGACATCTTAACACACTTGTTGTCAAATACAGTTGTCACGATCGTCGTATGGAGTAGACCAATGCGCAGCGTTAGTTGCGAACATACTTCTTTATTTAATGAATGCACGAACAAAACAAGAAACGATACGTGACGTCCTCGGTACAACACAACCGACACGGCAACAAACCAAAACGGAAACACCCAACAGGAACAAGATCCCACAAACACAAAGGGAAAAAAGACAATTTAAATATGGCTCCCAATCAGAGACAACCAGCCACAGCTGACACTCGTTGCCTCTGATTGGGAGCCACTCTGGCCAACATAGAAACACAACAACCAGAACTCCCGACATAGAAATACAACACATAGAATGACCACACCCTGGCTCAACATTTAGAGTCCCAGAGCCCGGGTGTGACAGTACCCCCCCCCCCTAAAGGCGCGGACTGCGACCGCGCCTCAACTAGAACCAAACAGGGGAGGGCTGGGTGGGCATTCCTCCTCGGCGGCGGTTCTGGCTCCGGGCTTGCCCACCACCCTCCAATAATCCCCCCATAGCGCCCCTGGTCCGATCTGGCCCCGCTGGCTGGAGCTGAACTGGACATAGTAGGAGCGGATAGCTTCAGCTCCGGTGTGGAGCAGCCGACCGGTACCTGATCAGGCACCGGTGACCAAGGCACGGGTTGTGCCGGACTGACGACGCGCACCCCTGGCTTGGTGCGTGGAGCAGGAACGGACCGGACCGGGCTGACGATGCGCACCCCTGGCTTGGTGCGTGGAGCAGCAACTGGCCGGACCGGGCTGACGATACGCACCCCTGGCTTGGTGCGTGGAGCAGGAATGGGCCTTACCAGGCTGACGACGCGCACCCCTGGCTTGGTGCGTGGAGCAGGAACGGACCGGACCGGGCTGACGATGCGCACCCCTGGCTTGGTGCGTGGAGCAGCAACGGGCCGGACCGGGCTGACGATACGCACCCCTGGCTTGGTGCGTGGAGCAGCAACAGGCCTTACCAGGCTGACGTCTCGCACCCCTGGCTTGGTGCGAGTGGCAGGAACAGGCCTTACCAGGCTGACGTCTCGCACCCCTGGCTTGGTGCGAGTGGCAGGAACAGGCCGGGCCGGGCTGGCGACGCGCACCGTAGGCTTGGTGCGAGTAGCAGGAACAGGCCGGGCCGGGCTGGCGACGCGCACCGTACACTTGGTGCGAGTGGCAGGAACAGGCCGGGCCGGGCTGGCGACGCGCACCGTAGGCTTGGTGCGAGTAGCAGGAACAGGCCGGGCCGGGCTGGCGACGCGCACCGTAGGCTTGGTGCGAGTGGCAGGAACAGGCCGGGCCGGGCTGGCGACGCGCACCGTAGGCTTGGTGCGAGTAGCAGGAACAGGCCGGGCCGGGCTGGCGACGCGCACCGTAGGCTTGGTGCGAGGGAAAGGAACAGGCCGGGCCGGGCTGGCGACGCGCACCGTACACTTGGTGCGAGTGGCAGGAACAGGCCGGGCCGGGCTGGCGACGCGCACCGTAGGCTTGGCATGTGGGTGCATGTGTGTATGAGGGTGTGTGTGTGGGTTTGAGAAAAAGAGAGTGTGCGGGAGAGAGAAAGAGAGAGAGAGAGAGAGAGAGAGAGAGAGAGAGAGAGAGAGAGAATGAAGGAGGAAGTTGTGTCCACTGTAGGCTACTGTATTGTTACAGTATGTTGTCATGGTGATGTTAAACCACTTTTTCACAAATCCAGTTGTGTTTCCTGTCACATGACTTGTCATTCCAGGCCTCCAGAGGACGCTGATCTTTACGTATCTCAACACAGTCCTCCTCACCATATTCTGGATTGCCACCACCATTATCAGGCTGTGGTTTATGCCAGTACCTACAGGGTTAAAAACAGTCAGATATCATGGTTAATACCAGTACCTACAGGGTTAAAAACAGTCAGATATCATGGTTAATACCAGTACCTACAGGGTTAAAAACAGTCAGATATCATGGTTAATACCAGTACCTACAGGGTTAAAAACAGTCAGATATCATGGTTAATACCAGTACCTACAGGGTTAAAAACAGTCAGATATCATGGTTAATAGCAGTACCTACAGGGTTAAAAACTGTCAGATATCATGGTTAATACCAGTACCTACAGGGTTAAAAACAGTCAGATATCATGGTTAATACCAGTACCTACAGGGTTAAAAACAGTCAGATATCATGGTTAATACCAGTACCTACAGGGTTAAAAACAGTCAGATATCATGGTTAATACCAGTACCTACAGGGTTAAAAACTGTCAGATATCATGGTTAATACCAGTACCTACAGGGTTAAAAAACAGTCAGATATCATGGTTAATACCAGTACCTACAGGGTTAAAAAACAGTCAGATATCATGGTTAATACCAGTACCTACATGGTTATAAACAGTCAGATATCATGGTTAATACCAGTACCTACAGGGTTAAAAAACAGTCAGATATCATGGTTAATACCAGTACCTACAGGGTTTTAAAAAACAGTCAGATATCATGGTTAATACCAGTACCTACATGGTTATAAACAGTCAGATATCATGGTTAATACCAGTACCTACAAGGTTAAAAACAGTCAGATATCATGGTTAATACCAGTACCTACAGGGTTTAAAAACTGTTTGTCCCTACACGTTGTCCCTTGTAACAGTGAAGGTTGGGAGTCATTCTCACCGTCATTAGCATCGTTTTTTTTTTTGTGTGTGTGTCTGTGTGTGTGTGTGTGGTGGGTGGG